TTTGAAGACATGATGTACAAAATACAAAACTGGCCTCATTTATTCGGCTTTTCCAACAAACAAGTCTTCGCGGTAATGTCGTTCTCTGTATTCGCGGTAATGTCGTTCGCGGTAATGTCGCTGTATCGAATTTAAGTTTTCCTAATTATGTCAGCAATGAGACGCATAAGTGGATCAAACAATTTAATGTTATTAAGAAATTTTCAAGAGTTTTCCACGGATTTTTGGATGCTATTTTATCTTATATTTGCTCATTTTGCGAACCAAATCTCATTGACATTAATTACGTATAACGGCCTAATTTCGGTCATCATGCAGTTGCGCGGTCGATGCAGGCTCTTACGGTATTTGAAAGAGCATATATTATATATTTGTATAAGAATATTGAGAATAAAATGTTTTTCTAGGTTTTTAAAAAGTTTGAAGCATAAAAGGACCCCGCTGGTTTTTAGTGGATATTCTCCTAACTCAAAATGAGATTAAAAGTATATGACTAGATGCGAAATGAAAAACTGCATCGATTACTGTTTCCAATTTTGTTAGAAACCACTTTGTTGAAAAACTATGAATTTTTAAAATTGTTCAGTTTTGCTGAAAAACAGGTACTATCAATCAAAAACTTGTTTTGCTGCTTTTTATGTAGATACCTACCATTTCAATTTTACTCCTGAGAGCTGCCCTCGAGTACAGTCTATCTATTGCACATAAAATAATTAAACAGTTTTTGTCCTAACTACTATAACGAAATTTTTTTATTCGACATGCCTATATCATTTGGATCTAATGTCGAAAAAAATCAAGTTTTTTCACTTATTTTGCGCTTCTAATAAAAACCAATACCATATTTGTAATGTACGAATAAAACCGTATCGAACAGGCTATTTTAGACCGCACTTCATGTCTATTTCCTACTAGGATCTTGGCGACATATTCTTAATTATAAATAAAAATGATAGTTAAATGAAACTGAGAATCGATGAGTGGTAGAAGATACTCTCTTCTGCTTTTTGAATTTATGAATTGGAAAGGTATTTTTCGAATGCTGTCATCGAAGATGTTCTTCTTTTGTGTCCTTGCGTTCTTTCTCTCTGCGATACGGTGTATTTTTCTGTGCTATTGCACCGTGCGAGTAACAGAACGACCGATTCTAATGTCTTGGAACTTTATTGAGCAAAAAATCACAACATTTAATCATAAAAAACAAGAGCCCGCACTTCAATCGACTGTCTAGCTGGTCCCTCCTTTGCACCTTCAGCATCGTAGAACGCAGTGTGAGGCGTTAAACCAGCCACATCCCTCAATAACGTCTCGTCTACTTGAGCCGCGCTCGCTTTGACCGTTGAGAGAGCTCGACTAGTGCTATCATAGCATTTCAAGAGCATCACCTCGTCCGGTGTCATCTTTGACCAGTAACACCATCGATGCTGGGGATTATGAACAACAGAATAAGTTTCTCCATTGGGCGTCGGAGGCGGATAGACGAGTATAGTTGGAATGAGATCGTTGAGCACATCGATACTACGAAAATCGGCCACAGCGAGTGGATAATCGTATACAGTATTCTTCAGTGGTCGCCATACATTAATCAATTGAAAACGCTTCCACGGGACGTCGGATGCATGTCGTTTCACTCGCGTATGAGCACTAATAGGCGTTTGATCGACATGCACTTGTTGCACAGGCTGGCGGGTCGACGGGGAACTGTCCACCTGACCTGGTCTCACTTTTCGTACGGTATGATCGAAGAAAACAACGTGATTGGCGCCTGTGACACGTTTAAGCAATTGTTCGACCTCACCATAATATGCTTCCTTTATTTGTTCCTCTGTTCCATCGAGAATGAGATCGGCATCGACTGTGCTTGGCGAATGAATGGCTTGGAAGCCGGTTACGTCGATGTGTGTGTCCGATTCGTGGCCTCGAATGTCGTGTATTGTGGTCTGGACGATATCCTTTTCAAAATTTTGTTCGCGCTGTCCATTACTCGAAACATTGATGTTGAGGAACCACTGTTCATTTACGCTGTTGGAAGGCAGGGCCTTGCTGTAGATTAAGGTAGTATTCACATCACGAGTGATGCTGGAGTCGTCGTTGAGTGTCATTTTTTTGGTTGTGTGTAACTGTTAGTGGTCCATTTTTTTTATAATATGTTTGATATAAACATGACACAGCAATTTATATGCGTGATCATGCGGACGAAGCTTTTTTCACTTCGGTCATTGACATAGTACACATTTTGATCACGCACCGACCACGTTGGTCAATGTCAGAATGAATCGTTAAAAAAATTACATTTTCTATTGTTCGAGGATGTGAGAGTGATGCATAAGAAATAATGTTCGTTCTATTATAGACATGTGCATAGGAATTCTGTGTATATTATTAGTATATGAAGAATCCTGTGCCTTTTTTTTCTCTTCATCATTCCTTTTATTTTTTTCTCTTCACCGCGTTCTGCACCTGCCACGAGACTTGAAGAGAAAAGAATGGGTGAAGGTGGCAAGATTGACTGATATGCACCACAGTCATGATTATACTGCAATTTAGGGATGAGACGGCATACGAAAGTTTCGCGTCCTGTCGTATAACACGAAATCCTGGGGCCTAGATTAAATCATAGGGTTTTTGTGACTAAAACTAAAAAATATGTACTGTGAAAGTAGAAGTCGGTATGCCTCACTATCTCAATTGTTTTTCGTTATCGTCTGGAAAAATATACTGTCGATAATAGCGCATGTGCAATTGACGATAAATGCCCAGGCGTAATCCTCATCCATGTCATTCTTTTTTTACTTAAAAGTAGAGGCGACGGAACGATTTCAAATGGGATTAGGCTCTATTTAAGGCATTTTCCTGCTAAATGAAATTTTCCCGTACTTTGATTATTAATAAAAAGCAAAGGTGTATGTGATAATGGTTTCTAGTAAAAGAAATATAATTTCCAGCTCAAAAATATATCCATTTCAGAAGTTCAGATCAAGCCACGACCCCATGGTATATATTATGTAGGTGGAATTTCTGCGAAAAAACACAGTTGCGTCGCTGCATGATAAGTAGAACAACAGTTGTATTTATTTCTTGGCCTGTAAGTGATCTTTTATTGATTTAATCCACTCTGAACAGACTATATTATGAAACTGAACGGGATATGTACACGTATTTAGAATAATAAAAAATCAGGAACAAGAGAGTATATGGAGAGTGTTTTATACAATAAAGTGAACGAAGTTATTGTATGTCAGATTTCTATCGTTTCCGTATCGAACGTTCTTTATATATAATAAAAGAAGATCTCAAAAACATTTTTAAATACTTCTGAGTTATTTTATGAGCACTTGCACTGCGCAAAAACATCTGAACACTGTGTTAGACATATGAGTCCAAAAGACTAGAAAAGCTGAATAATACAGAATATTTTTGAAGAATTAGAAGCGGCGTGTACTTCGCAAAAAAAATTAAAGTAAGGAAGCTTCGTAATTTGGAAAAAATACAATTAATTAGCTGTGAGCAGCAAACAACCATTTTTGCAACTAGTACATCATGTAAGTTACATTAAACGAGGTTCTACAAGATCAGCTGTCATAGATACAGATAATACCGTTCAAATGGCTTCGATCATGAATTACAATGGCAATGATTACGCAGCAAGTGTCAAATAGTTTCCTTCGGTATTAGACTTTCAGCTTTATAATTCTGTTTTTGTTCCATACAATTGCTATCCTCATGATCGCAATACAAACTGTACGAAGGTCAACCTTAAACCACTTTTGAGAAAAAATCCAGCTGAAAGATAGAGAATGATTGAAAAACTTGTTTCGAATAGCATATTTTATTCTTCTAGTGTCAGACTACTTTTACTTCTCACTCATCCTTTATCAGTTTATAAAAAAGAAGCAGATCTAACTGTACGGTTTTATTTTTCGAAAAATAATGAGGTATAACGAAGTGCTGTTATCATACAGCTTAGAGCAAAAAAACATTATATACCAACAATTCTTTACTGGAAAGATACTTGATATTCACAACAAAAAGACATTATTTACTAAAATAAATACTTGTTATAAACTCAAAAAAAAATATGCACCTGGCGTCATGCAACTATTCGTCGTCGTCTCGTTCTTTTTCTTTCTCTTAGTTTTGTCCTTCTTCAGTCATTTCTGTTCGGGTGTGTAAGTCGACTAGATTATGTGTTACATGACCCTGTTCTTGTAGACCTCTTCCTTCTATTCCTTGTTATGTGTAGATTTATCACTTTGATAAATAATTATTTATGTCGTTGAGTCGATCAATGGTAAAGCTAGTGTTACTGTTCGTGGTATCATCTATTTCAGAAGTGACTGTAATTCATCTGCGCAGAGTCTTCTTTCTTTTTCCTGTATTTGTTATTAGCTTTTCACTTTTGTAATGATTTGAAGTAAAATTTGCTGTTATTTATCTTCTTTTTGCTTCTTGACATTATGCGTTATTAAACAAAAGGAACTTAGATCGTATTTATTGAACGAAAATGATTAGATTTTCTTTTTCTAAATGTCAGATAACAAAATGACGTTTTTCATTTAACAGATTAGTGCGCAACATTTTGTTCCCCCTAAATTACAGATCACTTATATAGAAGCTGATCAGCAAAACAAAAGATGAATGAAAAGAAACAAAATCTGCCAGTCTGATGGTCCATTTCTTTACATGGCATAATCTGGTAGGGGTGCCAGATTTTGTACCAATGTGCATATACATAATTAAATGACATGTACAATTATTAAGCCGTAAAACTATAAACAGTTTTCTTGAGATAGTCAGCTGCATATCAAGAATGGCATTGTACACAAATTGATTACGTAGTACATACACTTCTTTTACTGGTTTCTTACTAATGTAACGAAAAAGTCCGTAGATGGAAATATGTCAGGCAGTCCGTTTGCACTTTCCCGATCGAGAAATATGTTCCGATCGGGAGACTTTCCCAATCGGGAAAGATGTTATCTCATGAACCATAAGACGTCTGGAGTGCGGCCAAGTTTTATTCTGTTGCTTAGGTGATTTACATTTGCTCTATGTGAAAAGCTGAAGCTCCTCTTTGATCGTTGGTTACGTGCCATGCTAAAACAACTTTTTGCTGAAAAATCCCTTATTTTTATTTCCCAATCGGGAAATAAGACAGGATATTTCCTGTTCGGGAAAGATCAACTATTTCCCATTTGGGAAAGATGTATTTCCTGATCGAAAAATAATGCGATACTATGCACTGTACTCTTCTTAACGCTGTACAGTATTATTGACATTTTACGTAGTATGGTTAAAACTTTAACTTTGATGAGTCATTCTAAAAACGATAGTGAAAATATCTACAGTGGCCGTCAAAATTATTCACCTACCTTGCTAATTTCTTTTATTAAGGTTATTGCTTATTGAGGCAAGCTGCTAGACCATTTTTTGATCTTATCGTGAGATAGCCCTTAGTTTTTTGTACATTTCCTGTAAAATTCCAGTTCTTATGCCTTGGTTTCGATTTTTGGCAAATTTTCTTGTGAAATCACCGAATTTTTAACGCTAGAAAGCGTAATATGCACTTTAACTTCTGTATTATCTTGTCCCATTTTGATCTTTTCATGAATTATTTTGAGACACATATCGTTCGATAGAGCATTGATTGTGCTACAAAGTGGATTGGTTTTTATTTCAAACGGGCGCCAGAAGTACATAGAAAGAGAGATGTTTCTAGAAGGCTCTTAATGTTCAGAGCATGTGTCCGGTAAACCTCGCTTTTCTCTACTATAACTAGATCAAAATTGGCCTCCAAATATGTCATTCGAAAGAGCATCAAAAACTGCATCGAACAGACTAATTTACAAGTGTTTTGAAGAGTGTTGTAGAAACAATCATTGTTAACTGTCGGATGAGAAACTTAATTATATTTTTTATTTTGAAAAGTATACACACTGGATCTAGTTATATTCAACATATTTATCACCTGAAGACTAGTCAGGAGATCTTTCTTACGCTTCTAGAACTCGATGATACGTGTTTATAATTCTGCATCCTTCCTTTTTCTTAGTCTTTTCTTTTTCTTTCTTCCATCTTTCTTTTCCTTTACTCTAACGTTTGACAAAAATGACTTTCCTGATCGGGAAACATTTTGATCCCACTTCTATTTAACATTTCTATAATATCAGATGTGACAGAAGCGCGTCAACTTCACCTGGCACCGCGTCAATCGATGCAGTTTTTCGTGCTCTTTCCAAAGGAACCAACCAGAACATGCGCGAAAGCGTTATAAAATGCGCTGAAGTGTTTCAAAGTAGACATGTCGAAACAGATTTCGCTTTCTCGATCAGGACATATTTCCCAATCAGGAAATACATCTTTCTTGAACGGGAAATATTTCCCGTTCGGAGCATAACTCTTGCAAACGGACTGTCAGGGAAAAACACACAGAGAAATACCCACGAAATCATAGTTCGAAGTGATCTAGAGCTTTCCTTACGACGTTGGTGGCTAATGAAAATGTACGTCTGAAAAGAAATAAAAAACATGTTTTTCTTTTCGTTACTGTTACTGTTTTGCTTCTACCATGGGTGGTGGTAATAGAGCAACCAAAAATAAAGCATGACATACATAGAAACAATAGGTGCTAAGAAATCCACTCACATCACAACGCACAACAGGAACGAAAATCATGACAAATGTATACTTTGCATAGCAGTTCGAATTACATATTCGAACAAATGAAAAGTTTAAGGTCCATAGCTCAATTAAGAATTTGGTTCTGTGCATGACCAATGAAATATTCGTGTTTTTGTAGGTGATCGAAGATGGTTGTTCTTAAGAAGTTCATCATTTTTTTCTTCTAGTTTTAAAATTCAATGCCCGGCCAAGATATTCATAATAAGAAGGGCATCAATGAAATATATCTATGTCCTGTATGTGAATTAATACTCAAGAATCCATGTCAATTACCGTCTGGCGATCGATTATGTCAGGAATGTATTCCAACACTTATAAGGTAAAATAATATGTTAGTCATGATTTACTGATATCATAGTCCATTTCAGGATACCATATTTCTATGTCTTTAATTCGCCAGTTTTATATGTGAAGAGATAAGTTATCAGCAAATACGTTTCTTTATAAAGTAAAATCACAGACTGGGTTCGTAATTCTCTTCTCCTCTTCTTTCCTCTTTAATCCAAGACGTCTCCCCTTTCTCCTCTTTTTCTGGGACTTTTTTAGCAGAAATACCAGAATTCACGGTGTTTTTAGATCTGAGAGTAGTTTCAGATACAGTTTATTTGCCCGTCTTGTCTTTAATTCGCCAGTTTTATTAGAGGTTAGATTTTAGGAACATAGGATGGCAGTTGATAGTACAGCATATGAAGAAAGACAAACACCGTGAGAAAATCAGAGAGTTGAAATAATATATCACATTCATTTCTTCAACATCTTTCATACAGCCACAAATTTATCCTAAAGTTCATCCACATTCACCTTTTCTATATTTACACTGGCTCATCCAACAAGACTTCTCAGTTTCCAAGATCAAGTGCCTGAAGCTGAAATTAACAGTTAGCGCTGCTATTTCAACAGTCAGATACGTTTCTGTGTTAAGCTAGAATAACTCCTTTTTGCTGTGTTTTTCTTAGTTTTTTATTCGAAAAACGCGCAAAAAAATACTTTGAGTGGGATGAAACCTTTTCTTTGGGAGCCTTAAGCCACTTTGACGTATACAACAGTGTCAGTACCATTTTTTGGCCCAAAAATGCCGTATCTTTTTCTCTTAAAAAATTGTTAACGTACCTCTTTTGCCTGAAAGGGCCGTTATGAAACCAGATCACAGAGAAATTCCCTATTCTCACAGCCGCAGTCGCTGAATATATCAGGAATGCTTCATTCCTGGCGTTACAATCCTATAGGAATACATCCACTCGAGCCAATCATTTTTCCTGATCAGCTCGAGCATTCTGCCAATACTTTAAATATGTTCTCGAAGTCGATTGAAACACAATGATCATACTGTTTCGACCTGAACTAACCATCAGTGAAGCACATTTTATTATTTTTCTCTATTGGCAGACTACAGAAAGATAAAATTTAAACTTAGGTTGATGCAGAGAGATTGATTAAAAATTGTGTTTGAATCTTTAACGATCATTTGAATTATTCATGTAATTTATGTCAGGAAAATTTTGCGACACTAACCGCGTTAAATGAACACAAAGAAAAAGCATGTCCAAATGCAATAGTTTCATGTACACTCGTCTCTTATGGCTGTACGGATAAGGTAAGTTATGACATACATCATGTCGAAAATATAGAGTTACTTCTTTTGAGATTGCAGTAAGTGTAAATAATCAAAAAGCAGAATAATCAAGCTCACTTCCACTGACTACAAATTTCATTAGTACCGAGCGTTATTTCTTCTAGTCTATTTTATCTATTCAATCAGACTCTGTGCTTAATATTAGTAAAAAATGTTCGTTATTTCTGAAAGTTCCTGGAAAACGTTAACAAAAATAAAAGCATTCTCCGTTAGTATTGAAGATATTTTACCTACTATAGGTTTCTGAATATTTTTCGAAAATCAACCGTTATCATCAGCTACGGTAATGACACAAACGGGCTATCACCCCATGAAAGAGAACTAATATATTGTCATGTTGAACTTTCGCATTTTGAAATAACTTTTCACGAAGTCCTCAGTGAATCATTTTTTGGAGAAATAGTTTCAACGACATTTTGAAAAGTTAGTTTCTCCATATTAGCATGATCTAGGGATTGCGACTTCTGCAATAGCCTGACACAACCTTTTACAGGCTTTCAAACTATTACAGTTTATAAGGCTACCTTCTTCCTATAGAATTCCACTAGTAGTTTTTCCTTTTATTAGTTAACTTTATCCTTTGCAAAATTTGCAAGAAGAATTTGCTTTTGTTTAAAAATGACCCGTTCGTGTGGATTTCTTCAGCCATTGTTATTCACATGGCTGCAACACATCGGTCATTGCAATACATAAACGAGTAACAATCAAATTTTTTCGAATTACTTCATCATTTGATACAATACTTTCAACTTCACAAAGCTTTAAAAGAATAAAGAATAATAATTGAACAAACAGTTGAATCACAGTTATCATGGTATCATACCAATGGAAATATTCGAATAATACTCTCTTTCACTGGTTGTAAAGATCTACTAAACATGTGCGTCAATAGTTGAATTGCTAAAAAGAAGGAAGAATTAACGAGTTGACTATAGAGGAACACCGTCATAATCTTATTACCAGTCTCAATAAAATTTAAAGCCTTTCTTCCCTCAAAATCAATTTCAACAACTTGTCCGGTTACGTTTGCTGTAAAATACGAAGAAACATAGTTATATCTTCATCACTAAATACAAGCTGTTTTAATTACCTAATGGTGTTCTTTCATAGATTTCAATGGCTTGTTCGAGCCTTTCTCTTAGTGAATCAATAAACTTATTCACATCTGGATGTCTCATTGATTGACCATTTGGTAGCGTGATGTCAAAAGTAATTGATGTTGATATTGTTTTGAAATGAAGGTAGTTGACGTATTAATTACACAAATTATTATTCCTAGTTACTTTGCAATACGTTCACGACCTGCTTTAAATGGATGATCAAGTAATTCTGTAGCGTGTTTATTGATTGTTTTCCAAACTGTTGATACTCGCCACTCAAAATTGGATATTGTCTGTGTAAAATACCAACATGATGTTCCATTAAATGTATTTGCCGATGTTTGTTCAGTAGTTAATGAAAGAATATACTCATTTGGTTTGTACATTCGACGGGGATCTTCGTCTTCCTTCCAAATAAACAAAAAATATTAGTATTTTTATATTCCATTTGTTAATGAAAACTTACCATGCCTAATTTAAAACAAGTTCCCCAATATGTCAATGTTTCTGGTGATAAATTTGAAAATACTTCTTTTAAAAATGGTGTCAATTTGTTCCAAAGTTTATCAAGCTAAATAACGATAATAAACTAAAGTTCAGAATATTTTCTCAACGACTCAACATACCGTATTTACTGTCCAATATTTTGAGCCACATATTATTCCAGCAGTAATTTCTGCTGCTACACGATGACTGCCTTCTTGTTTTGTTTTATCGTTATTATGGATCAATGTATACAGACATTCAAAAAAATTATCAACAAATTCCAAGCCAAAAGGCGACTATGACTTTCACGGTGAATTTTGACCACAAAACGGGATATGTGTAGGTTTCTAGAGGAAGACTTCCTCGATCCAATGGTGTATATATTATCAAATTCTGTTGCGTACCGTGAGAGAAAATTAACGGTAACCCCTCCTTTTTTAGACATATTTTTTATTTTTGAGTTAACTATTGTGCATTATAGAGTAACGTGTCCTCTACAAAAGAAGACCACTTCCAACTCTCCAAAGCCTTTCGTTGAGCAGATTCGAATTTTTTAAAGTTTATTACTTTACTCTGAAAAAACCTTAGTTTTTTACTTTCGAAACATTTTTCTCGTTCGTTCAGTACTTCCAACAAAATGACCATAACTCTATCAGAAAACATGGTGAAGAGCTAGGAGACATCTCAGTCTGTGGAGAAATCATTATTCTACCAGATTGACTGTTTCAAAAGTTTATCAAGTACTGAACGAACGAGAAAAATGTTTCGAAAGTAAAAAA